AGCGTTCCAAAAGTGGAAGGTAGCGGTCAAGCGTGAGGGGGTCGAGCCACCTTAAACCCATTGCGATGGAGTAACACCCTAGGATAAGGGGTGAGCCATAACGAAACTCTGCTAACATGTCAGTGTTGTCAACTCATTAAATTGAATCCGGCCGAGACACTAGCAAGTATTTGCCATTCACCATGACTTTGCTTTGATATTTCTATCAGATGTAATAGGTTGTGAAGACCCTTGTGAGTGTACGTGGTGTGGAAGGGATTTACTTCAGAACTGTACCTACAAGAACTTGAAAAACGTCCCGGATCAAATCCCACGTATCGCTACAGAAGTGTAAGTATATTGACCAAGCGCATTCCCATGTGACTAGGCTGATGTAGTCTTTAATGACTCTTAAATAGCTTCCATTCTCAACCAATCAAAATGTATCTGATGTACTCGCTATCCAATCACATTTAACTGCTTGTTTGAATACTATGACGTAGTGTGGTATCTTCCACTGTCGACCAATGAAAAAGTAGCTCATGCGCACACCGTCCAATCACAGCACAGCTTGTTTGAATACAGTGTCATAGGTACTAGCTTCCCTATTTGCCCCAGTTTATAAGTCTACTTTGTCTTTCTACAAGGTGGAAGCCGTGTTTGAGTGATGCATATGTGTCTGACATATTTTTTGCAGTGATCTTTCCAACAATGCGATGACTGACCTACCACCAGTCTGCGCCAGTTTCTACCTTGCCAAGGGACTCGAAGTTCTGTAAGTCAAACAGCTATTTTGTGTATAGTTTCTCATTACAAAGTATGCGATAAAATTTTAACGAATGGATTTGTTTTCCAGGAGTTTGAGAAACAACTTAATTTCGGGTATTTTTGAGCACCCCTTCTACGGTCTTTCTAAGTTGATCATTCTGTAAGTAGCCAACATTCTTCAAAGTGTTGAGGGGAATTATATGTAATGAGAGCTAACCCTTCTGGTATTCGTTTATTAAACACAGAAGACTGGATGGCAATCGCTTGACTGATGATAAAGTCGATATCAAAGCGTTTTCTGATATTCCTCACATCACCTTCTTGTAAGTATTTTGCTTGGGCTTCCTATGTTCCTTTCCTTGAGTCATTTTTCATTGACTATGGCATTTTGGCTGTTTTCAGATATTTTTCACGCAATCGCTTAACCAACGTAACAAAAGCAAGGTTCGGTCAACTAAGCAAGCTATTGTCATTGTAAGTAAATAAACTCCCACCGAAATTAATATATATTAAATATTATTAAATAAAGCAAATTTCGAAGACGTAAGACATATGGGTATAAATCATTTACCAGATATCTTGATCACAACCAAATCTCTACAATAGAAGACGAGGCATTCATCAACAACTCGCTGCTCAAGTCTCTGTAAGTAGTATGATCTCCTGTTGTATAGATCTGTTGTATGGTTGGATAGTAGTCACGTGATCAACTGACGTCATTAATGACAACTTTGACAGGAATCTTAACAACAATCGCCTTATTAACGTTACGTCA